AAAAAAAGATTCATTAAACAAAATCATGTTGAAAACTTCTAAAGATATCAAAAATAACTAATTTCCAGATTTGTTAATATAATGGGCAATCAAAGTGTAGTAGAGAAGCACAAATACAAATGCTACGGTCATACTACTTAAGCTGCCCGGGTTACTTGAACCCAAAAAAATTAAATGTTTATTAGTTTGTTTATTTTTTATAGAATTATTTGGTATAAAAGTAAATAAGTTAATTATACATTTATTCGACATAAAAAAAAGGATTAAATTTTTTTGATGATCAAAAATAATCAAAAAAATATTTTTTTAAACTATAATAATGGTAAAAATTTAGTATAAAACTTTTGTCTGTCCAGACATAACCAAAAAAGATAAAAATTATTTCATAACATATCTTAAAAGAAATATCAGTTACTACAAAATATAGTAATTATAATTGTCTTTTATATTTATTATTTTAATAAAAAAATTGTTTTTATGTTTGAAGGTCAAAATTGGGGCTACTTGAACCCAAATATCATTGTAGCAGCTTATGTTTGATTAAATTTGTTTTCTATTAACATTAAACCTTAAAGTGTAATAATATATTTAAAAAAAGTTGATATACCTGTTATTTTAACCATGTTTTTAATATTTGTTAGCTTATAAAATGTATACCTAAATAATGTTGATGGTTGGTTAAAGCAATTGTTATACATCTTTTTGCATATACTTCGTGCTATCATAACTGGTTCTATTAGAATGGTTTGCAGATATAAAAGAAAATTGGGATCTAGAGCTTAGAAAGATTATACCAATCAAAACTTTCAAAGAGCTATTCTGTATAAATATTTAACGTGGAGCTATGAGTCAATGATTTGCTAAAGAACAATTTAGAATCAACCGTTCCTACATTAAGGGAGCTCTTCAAAGATGACACCTTACTAGCACAAAGAAATATGCAGGGCATACAACTGTCTTCACGCCTAAAAAAGAACAGTCATTTTGTGATTGCTTAAATAAAGTTTCAACTTTTGGCTACCTACTAACCTCATTTGATCTTCGAAGTCCTATATAGATCGATTAGGGAGTAATGTTTAATGTTTCAATCAAAATCTCCCATGTGTCAAATGGGTAAAAGACTTTGTTAGAAGACATCAGCTATCAAAGAGATCTATCAGCTATCAAAGAGATTTGCTGGAAACCTCAAAAGGGGTAGGGCTTTTTACACTATGGGTTCAAGTAGTCCCACAAATAGAGCAACTTGAACTTAAACTTAAACCCCCAAAATAAGGGGGACTAAAGTTCACCTAAATATTTTTTTTCTCTACAACCATCTATATATTACTAATTCATAAGTCCATAAATTAGAAACATCAAGTTCTTTTTACAATGACATAAATATGAGAGAGAACTACAAATACCAAACATGTATCAGATTTAGGTCCAAATAGCCCATAAAAAAATCCTACAATAAAACACTAACCTGTTAAATGTTTATTAAAGTTTAGTTGACAAATCAAAATCCTTATAATGAATTAACTACTTAAGTTAAAACATTACATGTAGCTTCAAAAGATATCTGCAAAATATGGTTACACATCAAATAGATTGTTCATTTTTACTGATCTAACAACTGTGATATCAAAAAAATACACTCTAATTGGGCACCAAAGTTTTTTAAGTTGTTTTATCAATATGGAAATTGCACTTTTGGTGCAATTTTCTATATTGATAAAACAACTTAAAGAAACTACATACAAAAAAATATACATTTGTATTCCTTTTGCTGTGTAAGACTTTTTAAAACCAATATTTAAATATATAATGATAATCTTTTTAAGAAATGTTTTCACTGTAAAACACAGAACCTTGAAAAGTATTATAAGATATAAAATATAAAAGTATTATATGATACCAATTGGTTATGGTTTTTAAACTATTAAACTAAATACTATTAAACCAATTGATTTTTTTAATACTTAAATTAATTGAAAGCAAAAAGTTCTACAGATAGATTATTTAAAACTATGGCAAAAGAAAAGCCTTATGTATTAGAGTGGCATCTTTTGTTAATGGACACCAAATTTTGGAGAAAGTATTTGAAGAGTTTCAATTACTTTTTTTTATAAAAAAAAATTTAAAAAGTTTAATTTTGCTTCAAATAACAAGTCCAAAAGTGAAGTCTGCCGCAAAATCATGTGTTTGTCTGTTAATAATTTTGCGTTTAGGTAACTTTTTTTAGATTCATTTTTTTGACAGGTAGACTTTTCTCATAAATCGTTTATAAATTTTCCGATTATTATATTGGAGAAGGGACACTGTGCAACAACAGTGATTTCAACTAGTATTTGCAATCAACAAATTATTTTTATTTGCTATTTAAAACTGCATTATGAATGTGTGCAATAAAATTTTATATATATTTATTCAAAATTAAAAAAAAAAAAGGTACAAAAAAACTTGTCATTCTATTCTATGAAAATTGAACTAAAAATTATTGAAATTACTTAAACGTTCTTTTAAATTGTGAGGGTTAATGTACCACAATGAAAAAAATATATTTAAAATATTTAATTATCTTTTAGCAGATATTATTGTGGAAAATATTTGGCGAAATGGATTTTTTTTGCCGACTCCAAATTAACCCATGCCACAACTTGTAAAAATTTAAATCAATTTATTCTATTTTATATTTACATATTTATAACTTAAAAAAAACTCTCTTTCTTCCATCAACTAAATTTATTATAAAAATTTAGTAAAGAATTGTATTAGAATAATGTATAAGAATGGCATTATTAATGCCATTTGTTTTCACCAGTTTGTTTATGAAAAAAAATAGGTGTTCTGGTGTATACCTTTTATCTTAATTTGCGTATTTTTGAATCATTTATAGATTCTAATTAAGAAACCTTTAGGTTACACAAAACTGTAAAAATTAAAATCCTGCAGGTGCCACCATTTAGGAAAAGGCATTTAAAGAGGGTGGGCCTATGAAACTATCATGTTTAAGTGAAGAAACTTCCAGAAATGCTGCAAACTTTAAATTTTTACATACTATTACTAATATCAAATAATGATGTTCTGCAAAAAAAAAAAAAAATTATTCTCGGAACATAGAAAATACAACAATTTCGGGGCACCGAACCCAAATGATACAAAAAAAAAAAAATTTTTTTTGTGAACAATCTTATAGTAATTGAAATTTTATTCAAAGGATTCAAATTTTAAAAAAATATATAACAGTTCAAAATTTATGACCAAAAAACGTTATACTCCCCCTCCCCTTCCAAAAAAATGAGGAGGGTTTACATTTTACGTGACCATAACTTCGTAAGATTTTCTAAAGAAACTTGAAATTTCATAATGAATTTCAATTTGGTTTCATAAATTAAAAAAAAATATTTTTCAAATGCACATGTCCCCCTTTCAATTAGAGCAGGTTGTCTCAAATATTGGGTTTTTTTTTCTCACACTTTAATCAGTTATTTTTGGGCATATTTATCTTTTTATAACCATTTTTTTTATACCATGTGATTATATGACTTTGTATAGAAAAGATTTTTGTCTTCAAAATGACTAAATATCGTAAGCCCCGTTACTAAACTTTTTTTGTTTAGTTTCACTTTTTTGGACACATTTGTCTTTTTGATACAAGTATTTTTATAAAAAGAAGTATAATATATGGTATAAAATTAGCTTAACTTCATTCCATACCATTTATTAGTGTTTTATAGTTATTTAAAGGTAATGAATGAGGATTAATTAGAGTTAAACAAAGTTTGCAATAGGTAATTAAATTGTTATTTAAATAAAGTTTGTTTACAAATATACTTTAAAAAATTTAGTAAGTATTAAATTTATAGATAGAGTTTATAATGCCTTATTTAATATTAAAGAAGGATATGAGTTTAAGTTTAAAAGATCTCATAAGTTGAACAGACTTTTGGACTGTGCTTGTTGCTTTAATAAAAACATTAAGTGTATTCCGGTTACAGAAAGTTCGGAAAAGCTCGTTGTAAAGCATTGCCATGATAAATATAGTATTAAGGTTATGAAATATCCACCTGGAGTATGCCTTACGTTTTAACGAAATCTGGACCTGCTTAAAGCTGGAAAACATCTTTCAACATCAGTTAAACGGAAATAGAACAAAGAACCTTGAAGCGATGTCTACTCCAAGTAAGAGATGCAAAAATTGCAAAGTTTGCGAATTGGCAACTACGAAAATCTTAGGTTCTATATTACGCTATTTTTTTAAATTAGTTTAGAATTAAATTCATCAAATAATACTTTAAATAAAAAAAGATAAATAAAACAGAAAGAAAATAACTTAAGGAAAAGTTGATGTTTGTAAGAGTTCAAACGCTGCTTGTTTTAAAGTTTGTCGAAAATGTTTTAAAGTTATTGGTAAAGGTATACGTCATAAATGCTATTTAAAAAATATATATTTCTTCAAAAATTAATAATAATACTATTATTTAAAATCTGAATGTTTCTTTTTTATATCTCATTTGTAAAACCAATTTTTCACTGTCCTATTATTTAAGTTCAAAGCCAAGTAATGACCAATATTTTGAAAGATAAATGCTAAAGCAATGACATGGAAAAAAGTGAAAAATTGCTGTTATCTACTGGTATGTTATAAACCTATCTTTTTTTGTATATTTTTGTAAAATTTTGAACCTTTCTAAACATTTCTGTCAACGATAAAGGCGGTTCCAAAGTCCCCATAACTCTAAGTCAAACTAGTATGAACAGACAGAAATACCGTTTTCAGAGTTTAAAAAGTTATTTGTTTGTTTGCAATTGACTCAGTTCAAATCAAATTTTCTTTTAAAGACCTTCAGGCAAATGAAATTAGGTTTGAAAGAAATATAAAAAAAAAATTGAATGATAAAACAAAGGTACTTAACAACTTCTATGTTTTAGAAAATGCTTCTTTGGAGGATAAAAAGAAAGGGATACTAAATCATGTAAATCAGATATTTAATTTATGTAAAAGATATTACAGAATA